CTGACCTCAAACTCCACTCTCATCAGCACAAACACAGTCGTTGTCATGGGAACTGACCAGGAGTGTGTGAAAATGTGTGACCGGAGTGGGAACCCAGTGACACAGGTCCTTGGGAAGGTAGACCGGAAAGTGCTCGTGGTTCAGTGAGTGTTAAAGCAACGAGTCCAGCTGTGACGGGGCTGGGTATAATCGGGGCAGGCCGCGCAGGGGAGTGTGGACTTGTGGATGGCCTCTCCCGGGGCCGGGCCGGTCCGGGTGGTCCCAGTACCGTAGCAGGAGCCCTCAGTCTCTGGCTTCACACGGCTCTCACGCGTGTCACAGAGCAGAGTGGCCGCAGTGGGAGGCGCTGGTCCACACGGTCACTCGGGGGCTCAGGCTCCTGTCTGCCTATCGGGAGTCTTCCCCAAATCCTCTGCATCTGGCTAGAGGGGACAGAGAAAGAGTGGCAGGTGGTGAGGGGGTCTGGGGGCTGAGGCCTGGGAGTGGTGCTCATCATTTCCTCTTTATTCCGGAGAGGTTTTTGCTATAGGGTGCATGCGCTCTCCAGAAAGACAGAGAGAGACAGAGAGACAGAAAGCGAGAAATCACCCCCCACGGGAGATGGCCATGTCGCAATCCCTTCTCTATTTTCCTCTCGGGATCTTGGGCACGCACACACACTCCCGGTGTGAGTTTAAGCCACTGGGTCCGGGACTTGAACCACAGTCGATTACATGGGAGTCAGCAATGTAGCCATGATACCATCTGCTGGTCCTGGTGTCCATCATTTCTGCCCCTTTGGTTCAGTCACAGGGTCCCACTTGGCTCCAGGGAAGGCCAGGAGTTGCAGTTTTCCTGCATACCCACAGGAAAGGGGACAGAGTTGGGGGCCACACAGCATCGTCTCAAAGCAGTTGCACCGAGTGCAAGCCATGTCTGTAAGTGGTGCGTCTGTGGATTCCTCCAGATCCTCTGAGGAGACTGGTCTCTACAGCCTGCTGAGAGCTGCCATCAGGGGTACAAAGGTCACGCCAGATGCCAGCTGTTGACAAGGCTGCCCCGGCTGTGGCCAGGGTGAGGGTGTCCTAGCTCGTGGTTGGTCCCTGTAATAGGCAGTCCTCTGACTCCCCTTGCTTTGATGCCACTTTTGCCACGCAATCTCATTAAAAACTGGTTTCTTATGAGTGTGGCTGTAGGAAGAGTCCATGGGGATCTGCCTACCAGGGCGGGCTGGCCTTCTGGACCACCCGGGTCTCACCATAAATGAAAAAAGAAATATGCTAATGAGAAGGAAAAACAAATACAAACCCCCTTTTGGGTGACCACTCCAGGGCTTTGAGCTTATTTGTGAAGGATGGCCCCAACGTGGTGTGACAGCTCGTTCCGTGTGAACAAAATACAGAACATACTCTTCCTGCCTAGCACCAGGCCACGTCCTGCCACAGGTCCACACCGCTCGTCTGCTCTTATCTGCCCTGCAGTAACCCTGTCTAGAAAGCAGCCTCGTCTCATTCTTGGAAAGGAAAGCCCCCATGGACCTTTCTCTACATCCCTGGCCACAGTGGATTCAACCGCAGGTGGACACCGGACTCAAGACAGCCAGTCAGCTGGGCCGATGAAGTTTTGCACTGGGTGGTGATGGGGCATGGGGTCACCGTGTAAAGAATGGCGCGTAGCAAAGCGGGTTCTCGACCACGCCCTTGACCACCTACCGCGCAGTCTGGAGCAAACCCGGACTATACTTCACATCGCTATACTTCACATGGCTATTACTGAAACACAGAAAATAACAAGTGTGGGAGAGGATGTGGAGCAGTTGAAACCCTGGGGCGTTGCTGTTGGTGATGGAAATGTTGAAGTCACTGTGGAAAACAGTTGTGCAAAATGGTTCCGAACAGGTAAGGTACTGAATTAACTCAAGACCCAGCAATTTCACTCCTAGGTCTAAGAAGGTTCTTCAACAACGTCATGGAAAACTGTGTATTATTAAAATAAAAACAATATGCATGGGTTTTAAGTTGTTTTGGTATCAAAACTCAACTCATATGATTTTTAAAAAAATTTGCCATAGGGCACATGGGCTCACCCATGTGGGGGGACAGAGAGAAAGATTAAGCAATTCCTGGAGTAAGTGGGGTGGTCACACTGCAATCCAAAATCCCACCTTCTCCTGGAGTTGGCCTCTAGGCATCCAGAGGCTTAATCGCCACATCACAGGTTGGCCTTAAGCTTGAAGCTTATTTCCACTTTTCCACGAACTTTGGAAATCCCTTTGTATAGTCAAGAGAATCGAAAACAGGGACTGTAACAGCGATTTGTACACCCATGTTCATGGGAGCACGGTTCACCATAATCAAAGGCACAAATGACTCGACAGCTCGCTCACCGAGAGATGAGCGGTTGGGCAAACGTGGCACACACGTACAATGGGCTGCTATTCAGCCTTACGGAGGAAGGGAATTCTGACGTGCTACAGTATGAGTGACCCTTGAAAACATGATCCAACCAGCCTGTCACAGAAGGACAAAAATTCTATGATCCACTAACGTGAGATAACTAGAATAGTCCAACTCCAGAGACAGAAAGTAGATAAGAGGTTACCAGGGTCTGAGAGAGGGGAGAAGAGGGTGTGTGTGTGTTTGCCAGGGAGAGAGAGAGAGAGAGAGAGAGAGAGAGAAAGCACCTCCTAAGGAAGATGGCCACACCACAATCCCTTCTCCTTCAGTCTCCTCTTGGAATTTTGGGTATGTGTCCCGTGTGTTTCTCGAGCTGTCAGGTCGAGGATTCAAACCATGCTATTGGACATGTGGGATCCAGTTGCCTTAACCACCATACCACGGACAGACCCAATTTCTGACTACTCTAGCTACCTCATGTGACTGGCACCATACACTGCCTGTCTTTCTGTGACTGGCTTTTCTTTCTTTCTTTTCTTTGGAGAGGTTTTTGCTATAGGGTGCGTGCGCTCGCCAGACAGACAGAGAGAGACAGAGAGACAGAAAGTGAGAAATCACCCCCCAGGGGGGATGGCCACACCGCAAGCCCTTCTCCTCCATTCTCCTCTCGGGATCTTGGGCACGCACACACACGCGCCCGGCATGAGTTTAAGCCACTGGGTCTGGGACTCGAACTGTGGTCGACTACGTGGGAGTCCAGTGACAGCCATTACGCTAACTGCTGGTCCCTCTTTTTCTTTTTAGTATTTGCTATAAGGTGTGTGCACTCCTGGAGAGAAGACAGGGGGTGAGGGAGAGAAAGTGAGAAATCGTCCCACAGGGAGGATGACCATGCTGCAGTCCCTTCTTCACTCCCCTCTCAGGAGGATTTTGGGCATGCATGCACATGTGCCCAGCGAGTTTTTCAAATTGTTGGGTCCAGGATTCAAACCATGCAGTTGGCCATGTGGCATCCAGCTACCTAAACCACCACGCCACCTGACTGGCCCGTGACTAGCTGTCTCACTCAGCAGAATGTCCTCAGGATTCATCTGTGTCATTCTGCAGGTGTTAGAGTCTCCTTTAAGGTCAAGTAATATTTAATTATGAGTATTAATTCTGTTTATGGACTTGTGAATCTTTCACATATTCTGAACATGATACCTATAGGTTGTAGTTGTCATCACTTTGGAGAAAAATTCTGCCCTTTGCTGTTCTCTGGTTTTGCTTTGTTTTTATTTTTTCTCTTTCTCGGCCTAAGGAGATTGGAGGTCTAAGAAGACAGGCCTTTTGTAGGCATCTGGGTCTCTTTCCTGTAGGAAGAGGCTTGAATATTCCCAGGGAGGAATGTTGGCTGTGTCTGGAACAGGTGAGCGTGTGGAGGAAAACGTGGAGCCTGGGGAAGGAGAGAAGGCCGGCGGGAGCCTGGTGAGCTGGGAGTCTTGCTCTCACAAGCTATCTGTCTCAGGAGGAAATAGCACACCCATTTCTTCAGCCACTGGGAGGCTTGATTTCCAGGAAATTAAGAT